CTTTGTTCCTTCTGGTCGGCCATCTCACTAATCGCCAAAGGGTTGAAACAGGAACGCACACAACAGAGCACCACAGACAAACCACTTAACTCAGACTGACGCCAGCTCACTAACAGTCGCGGGAGACCCCCAGCTAACACCACCTAGCAGCACAACTCGTAACAACAAAGCATGCACGCACAACAGGTCGTTTCCGGTTATTTTTGGGTCCCCCCTCGTACATGTGGCTAAGTCCTCTCAATATTTGAAGCTTATGTTGCTTCTATGCTCAGCCTTCCACAAGGTTAGTTGGGTCTTATGACATTTACCTATGCTATAAACACTAACCTCATGGAGCTGAGGATATGCCATGCTGTGATGACAAGGGACCCACCTAACATGGTGTAATGAGCACTGCAGAGGTTTGTTGTAGAATGGGATAAGAGGATGGCTGTATACTGTGAAATGGAAACATGGAAGCATAAATTTAATATCGTGATTAATTAGGCAGCACTTATGCTTTTTATTCAGGAGGCCCCAGGTTCAAATCTTTACCTGTAGACCATCTATCGTGACAGATTTCTTGTAGTTTTCCTTGATCCACTCGGGCAGATCCCAGGATAACATGACATATTAGGCTATGACTGCTTCTTTACACATCCTTTTAATTCATTATTCTTTATCATATCTTTCAATCCCCGATAATTTGAGCTATCAAAAACATTGTTATCGCATCAGCAGGCATGCTAGTGTGTAGAATACATTGTTTCTACTGATCTGGATGTGGTAGGATTAAGACATTTTTTAATTTTCGTTTCATGCATCCTGTTGTTGGCAGAGCCAAACTTGGCACTGACCTTAATATAGCTGTGTTGTGACAGTTTCAATAAAGAAATTGGATTAATACATGTTTGACATCTATTTCCCATTCATTATTCCTTTAATGTTTTTTTTAATAACATCTGAGGTAGGTGTCACTGCTATTAGTCCAGCTAGACTGCAACCTTATATCAATAATGTTGAAACAGAGGTGATTACTGGTGTACCGAATATGCTACATGACCAGTTATGTAAGTAATTTGGCATATATTTTGACTGTTTAATTTTACTGTGTGCCTTGTGACAATAATAATTTTTACATTGTAACAACCAGTGAAAAGTGCAGTCAAATTTCATGAAATAAGAACAGGACTATATTTGCATGTTTGCAACGTGGCAATGTTGCTAGTATATACAAATTGAAGTTTAAATTATGTTTCTTTTCTTTTTAGAATTTCTTTTTGAAGGGGGTGTTAACAGAGAGATGCTGCAGCAAAAGGCAAGAGAAAAGTAAGAGGAGTTCATGTAATTTTGACTCTTCTGCAAGGTCGACAAATTGGTGCTGGGGCAGGTTTTCTCCGAGTACTTCCGTTTCTCCTGCCAATCTTCATTCCACCAACTGCTCCACAATCACCCTCGCCTATCACCTGGGGCTGGTACAATAGGCCAGAAGTGGCCGCAGTACAAGAGAGTACAAGGGACGTAGTCCCACCCCACTAGCAATAATAAAAAAAAATCTTTCTGGGCGTTCTCGTTTACTGCAGATTACGACGTGTGGTACTCGTATTCAATGTTCCCAGTCATCCGTGGTATTGACTTCCGTGGTATCGCCCATATCAATCCATCGTGTTCATGAGTCAGCCCGGGTGCATTCTATATTCCTGTAAGAAAGTACCAGCATAACCTCATCTGTAACACGTTATCAATTGAGTGGATCAGTATACTTTGTTAGTTGCGTTTTATGCAAAGCTTCTGCTGACAAGAAAATTCTCATTAGGTTTTTACTTTTCTTTTGATCAATTAACGTCATAGCTACGTTTGGCTATGTTGGTAAACGCCATAGATGACATTCGTACCTGAAAGCTCATCTTTGGCTGAAATTCCGTTAGTGCGGTTACTGCTATCTGAATTGGAAACAAAATCTACGTCATCGTATGCATAAAAGAAAATGGTGGTTTGGTTTGCATGGTGTGTTATTCAATGTATTTGAAGTAAGTAAACCGTGTAATGGTTATATAAAGTGTCGAAGGAGGTATTTTAATTTTGCATGTGCCTCTGAAGAGGCGAATATGTGTTGGATTTGCGTTTTGTGACTGAAGGTTGCGTAAGGGTAGGGCCAAGGAGGACCATGCCGGTCTGAAACATTTTTGGAAGGCATAATGCATAAAATTGGGCTTCACCAGGCAAATTTGTATTAAATAAAATACTGAAGTAGCGTGGTAATATAGTTCAGAATTTGGGCACAGTTGTTTTTTTATCTATAATGCTGGCAGGTTAGTGTACTATTTTTGCGCTGATAAAAATCGTGAATAATAAAACATGCCGTATAATAAACTAAACATCTTTGTTGGTTTGATGACTGGTCATATAACCGCAGTTGTACGTATATACTGGCGGTGTGGTATGTTATGTGAAGTTTTAATAACTTTGTAATACGCATGTGTTAAAGATCTTTGGTACTTTCTATTAAATTTTCAGCACGGGTTTGTACGTTTTGTTTGACCCTTGTGGGTGTATGAAAGTATTTTTGGGTGTGTGATGTGATACATAAATCATGTGAACGAAGCCATTAAAATTGGTATTTCTTCTAAGGCAAAGCACCTTATAAATGAACAGATTAGCGTGTAGCGCTCCTTATTTTTGATGGGCCGCACCATATTTCGTGGGCAGGATGTTAACTGACCTATTTGATGCTTTTAATGGTTATTTTAGTTCCTGCAGGCGAATGGTTCCATATCGTAAAATATTTTCATACAGTAAAAGTCATTTTTGAGTCACAAGTATAATTGTTGCATTCTTCAAGGCTTCTTCAAATAAATGGCTCAGTCAACAGTATTGTATTTGTGCACCATTAACCAGCATGCCTTGAAAACGTATGGAGGATTGTAGATATAGCTGGGCCATTTTTGACCCTGGCACTAGATAGAGGTGAATGGTCTGCCTCATGCCCAGGCTTTTTACCCCTGGGGAAAGAGCTGCGAGTACCCAATGGATAGGAGGCTTTCAGTGTATAAGATTACTTATAATTGTTTAACATTTCATTGAACTAGTCAAACATATTTTGTTTATTGTGTTGGATGTGCATACACTTTTTTTAAGGCATGACCTTATGTGGGGGAGGTTGGGAGTGCTGTTATCAATATTATCTAATGCTTGTGTAGTCAGGATATAACAAAGAGAATTTGTAATTCTAACAGAACTGTCTATGTGAATAAGGAATTTTGTTCTTCCATAGTGAGGCAGGGGAGGGAGATAGAACTGTGTCATATATGCCTGTAATATCTGGCATGTGTTAAACCCCCCCCCCAACAAAAGTTCTCTTATAATGAAGGGGAATTTTTTTGTTCAGTAGATCACATTTTGTTTTTAATGTACTTTTGTTGGAAAAATGGGTAATTTAGATAGGGGGATCTCATTAGAAGACAAATTTGTAAAGCTCTCTGAATGTAGAATACAATTTGCTCCCTTGCAGGAAGAGGTTAGGTTTTTGTAAACATGCAAAGTTTATTCTCTTCATACATTAGAACTTGTTTCAAACCGGTGTTATGTTTATTAAGCTTCATTGTTCATTTATTAGAAGGCTCTTACATTTCTGAGCACATTATTGTAAAGTTATGTTTTCATTTCCAGAAATTTTCACAGAACAGTTTCATGTCTATGAAAGCACCACGAATATACTTACTATGACAGTGAAGCTGCACTGTTTTTTGCACTTTGTGTAATGGAACGTTGTGGGTTCTAGAAGAGAATTTTGGGAATTTGCTGTCAAGAATTGGCGAAGTTCATCTGTTAGTGTGTTTACTGTGGGCCTGTAGAAAATCTTAATGGAAGAAGAGATGGTTCTCTAGCAACATCAGAAAAATTCTTAGCTTTTTTTATAAAGAAGAAAGTACTGTTTTGTGGTATTTACCACACAACATGCTATACAGTTGCTTTAGTGCATTGTCATCTGGCTCTTTCCCATTTCATTTCATTTATTTACATGTCAAAAATCCTTTACAAGTTCGTAAGACTCAGGATATAGACAATAGTCCAATATAACAATTAAATATAATAATTACAAAAAATATAATACATGTTAAAATATTTATGTAAACATAATTTTAAAATTATAAAACTTGTAATTTAACTTTTCAATAATTAAGTATTTAATCCCAATAAAATCAATTATCAATCTTCTTAACCGTGTAATCAAAAAATTCATCAATACCATAAAATGAATGTAAATGGAGAAATTGTAATAGTGCTTTCTTGAATCGATTTTTGTTTTTGGATAACTGTTTTATTTTGCGTGGAAGACTATTATAAATTTTGATTCCAAAATACTGTGGACCTTTCTGAAATGCTGTTAGATTTGACGAGGGGAGATGCAAATTTGAACTATTTCTTGTT